TTATCTATATATGTACACCAATTCGATGATGATCCCCACTTCGCGTGGTAGGATTATCTATGTATATATACATCAGTTTGATGATGATCCCCACTTCGCGTGGTAGGATTATCTATGTATATATACACCAGTTTGATGATGATCCCCACTTCGCGTGGTAGGATTATCTATGTATATATACACCAGTTTGATGATGATCCCCACTTCGCGTGGTAGGATTATCTTCGGGTGTTATTATTGAGCCTACTATTCTGCGCTTCACACTCGGTAAACTTTATGTGATTATTACTAGCACTACTACTGTCTCAACTAGTGGTCCTGTGACTAGCACTACTACTGCCTCAACTAGTGGTCCTGTCACTAGCACTACTACTGCCTCAACTAGTGGTCCTGTGACTAGCGCTACTACTGTTTCAACTAGTGGTCCTGTGACTAGCACTACTACTGCCTCAACTAGTGGTCCTGTCACTAGCACTACTACTGCCTCAACTAGTGGTCCTGTGACTAGCGCTACTACTGTTTCAACTAGTGGTCCTGTGACTAGCACTACTACTGTTGCCTCAACTAGTGGTCCTGTGACTAGCACTACTACGGTTTCAACTAACGGTCCTGCGACTAGCACTGCTACTGTCTCAACTAGTGGTCCTGTGACTAGCACTACTACTGTTGCCTCAACTAGTGGTCCTGTGACTAGCGCTACTACTGTTTCAACTAGTGGTCCTGTGACTAGCACTACTACTGCCTCAACTAGTGATACTGTGACTAGCACTACTACATCCTCTTCATCTGGCCAGTGTTCGGGTGACTTCTGCGTTGCTGATAGGACGGCGTTCCCTAACCTCCTCCCGGTGGGCCAAATAACTACCGAGTCCTTCAGTTTCATTGACTATGGTGCATGGTACCTAGCTGGTTACTCTAGTGATGATGGTATCCGTATGCTTTGGAGACTCCAATGCAACCAATGGCTACCTGTTGCCGAGAAGACTATTTCTAATATCGAGGCTTCGGGCAACGATATGTTCGTGTTTGGCATCAGCGAGGGTGACGTTGGTGTTTTTTTTTACCCGAAGAACAACAATGCTTATCGTATAATAGCTCAGGCGGATCCTTCCAAGGAGTATACTGGAGTCACCTTTTATCAACACTCGAATATTCTATATGTTACCGAAAAGGCTACTGGGCAGATTGCTCGGTTCACAGGTCAGGGAGGCGCGTGGATTCCCATGGACCCCTTGAATGGTTCGGGTGTTATTATTGAGCCTAGTATTCTGCGCTTCACACTCGGTAAACTTTATGTGATTATTACTAGCACTACTACTGTTTCAACTAGTGGTCCTGTGACTAGCACTACTACTACCTCAACTAGTGGTCCTGTGACTAGCACTACTACTGTTGCCTCAACTAGTGGTCCTGTGACTAGCACTACTACGGTTTCAACTAACGGTCCTGCGACTAGCACTGCTACTGTCTCAACTAGTGGTCCTGTGACTAGCACTACTACTGCCTCAACTAGTGGTCCTGTGACTAGCACTACTACTGTTGCCTCAACTAGTGGTCCTGTGACTAGCACTGCTACTGTCTCAACTAGTGGTCCTGTGACTAGCACTACTACTGCCTCAACTAGTGGTCCTGTGACTAGCACTACTACTGTCTCAACTAGCGGTCCTGCGACTAGCACTACTACTGTCTCAACTAGTGGTCCTATGACTAGCACTACTACTGTCTCAACTAGTGATCCTGCCACTAGCACTACTACTGCCTCAACTAGTGGTCCTGTGACTAGCACTACTACTGTCTCAACTAGTGGTCCTGTGACTAGCACTACTACTGTCTCAACTAGTGGTCCTATCACTAGCACTACTACTGCCTCAACTAGTGGTCCTGTGACTAGCACTACTACTGTTTCAACTGGTGGTCCTGTGACTAGAACTACTACATCCTCTTCATCTGGCCAGTGTTCGGGTGACTTCTGCGTTGCTGATAGGACGACGTTCCCTAACCTCCTCCCGGCGGGCCAAATAACTACCGAGTCCTTCAGTTTCACTGACTATGGTGCATGGTACCTAGCTGGTTACTCTAGTGATGATGGTATCCGTATGCTTTGGAGACTCCAATGCAACCAATGGCTACCTGTTGCCGAGAAGACTATTTCTAATATCGAGGCTTCGGGCAACGATATGTTCGTGTTTGGCATCAGCGAGGGTGACGTTGGTGTTTTTTTTTACCCGAAGAACAACAATGCTTATCGTATAATAGCTCAGGCGGATCCTTCCAAGGAGTATACTGGAGTCACCTTTTATCAACACTCGAATATTCTATATGTTACCGAAAAGGCTACTGGGCAGATTGCTCGGTTCACAGGTCAGGGAGGCGCGTGGATTCCCATGGACCCCTTGAATGGTTCGGGTGTTATTATTGAGCCTAGTATTCTGCGCTTCACACTCGGTAAACTTTATGTGATTAT